TGAAAGTTTCAATAAAATGTATTCACTATTGGTGAAAACATTGGTTTGATCCCCAGTTCGTCTCAGTTGTCATGTCCTTGGGCAAGACACTTTACTCACATTGCCTACTGATGGTGTTCAGAGGTCTCAGTGGCTCCATTGCATTGCAGCCTCACCTCTGTCAGTCTACTCCAGGTCATCTATGGCTGTAGTTTACCACCATCAGCATGTGAATGTGTGTGTGTGAATGAATAATGCATGAAAACTGTAAAGCATCTTTGAGTGTCTAGAAAACTCCTATATAAGACTAATGCATTATTATTATTAAATACACTGCAAGGCCAAAAAAAGTTCACTCACTAGTGCTTTGTGGACCGCCTTTAGCATTGATTATGACACATTTACTGTGATATCATTTCCACAGGTTTCTACAATGTCACAGCATCTATTTTCTGTCCAGATTTTTAACTTTTGCCAAGATCTTGTATTGATGATGGGATTTTCGAACCACCGCTAAAAGTTTTCTCCAACACATTCCAATGATTCTCAGTGGGGCTCAGGTCTGGACATGTCTTGTATTCCCTAAACTACTCTTTCACAATCTCATCCCAATGAATCCTGACATTGTCATCTTGGAACATGCCCGTGTCATAAGAAGAGAAAATCCATTGATGGAATATCCTGGTCAGTCAGTATCTTCAGGCAGTCGGCTGACCTCAAAAAAGCTGCTGAACCTAGACCAGACTAACTGCTCCTTCAGGCTTGTACAGATGAACATATTTTCCACAAATTATGATGTCTCTTTCAACATTGTTGTTTAAAGGCGCAATATCATGTAAAATCAACCTTTTGAGTTTTGTAACATGTTATAATGTTATACTCCCATAAAAATCATGCCCAAAGCCTTGCTTTGACTCAGTCATGCATGTTTGAGAAATCTTGCAGTGTTTTCACGCAACCATGCTGAGGAGCAAAACGACAGGTGGGGACCAGAAACACCTTTTGGTACCAGAAACACCCCTGGGACGTGTCTTTAAGCTGAACTTCCTCATGGCAGAGTGCCACCCCCCCACACACACACCTTGCCCATGACTCCTGCAGGCTCTCGCAACCTGATTTGATGGACTTTTTAAAGGGACACAACTGACTGGACAAGCAAAAAAAAAGGGGGCGTCACCGTACGGCACCACCTGAGGGGACAAGAACAAAAGGGGCATTACTGTATGGCACCACTTTTTCTGGAGACCCCTGCTTGGGTCACATTTCTTTTGGTTAACCTTAGTGTTGGGGTCAGGGTCATGCTGTATAGAGGCTAAGCAGGGTCTAAGTATATCGTCATGCAGGCCTCGTAGCGCACAGTGTTTAAGCTTTAAACATGCCCACTCTTGTGTCACGCCCACTTTTATTGTGCATATAACCCCTTCTCAGCTCTCGGGTGAAAGTGAAAGTGAAACCCAACTGTCTGCTGAGCTCTCAACATTAGTTCTCACTCAGTGAAGC